CCATCTTCTGCTTTTCTCGGAGCATTAGTAGGGAGCTGGTTTGAAAATGGATTCAGGACTGGAACTAGTGCCCATGAGGGATGCTGGCATCACAGGAAGTGACTTTACTTGACACGTCACAGTGCTGGTCTCTTGCTTTAAATGATACATTAATAAACAATAGTATTTACATAAAGAATAGAGGATTTTCAGTTTTAAGGTAATGATGCAAGGTTTTTTTTTTTGTTCGAAAATCAACAAAATAAAAAGTTGTAGTATTACCATCTTTAATGAAAGCTAGAGATATCTCTAACCTTTCAGCTAGAAATTTAATAAGAAAAATGACATACAAATACCATTAAACTTGAATAATCAGATTACTAGAGGAGAACATTCGGAAAACCCTGCAAGACATTGGCATAGGCAAAAACTTACTGGAAAAGACCCCAGAAGTACAAACAATAAAAGCAAAAGAAGACAAATGGGGTTACATCAAGCTAAGAAGGTTTTGCACTACAAAGTAAACACTCAACAAAGTGAAACGGCAACCTACAGAATGGGAGAATATATTTGAAAATTATGTAGCTGATAAAGAATTAATATCCAGGATCTCGAAAGAGCTCAAGAAACTCAACAACAACAAGACAACAATCCAGTTAAGAAATAGGCAAAGGAGATGAACTGGCGATTTTCAAAAGATAAAATACAAATTGGCCAACAGGCACATGAAAAAAATGCTCAGAATCACTTGCCATAGAGAAATGCAAATAAAAAAACACAGTGAAATATCACCTCACCTCAGTTAGAATGAGTATCATCCAAAAATTAAAAAACAATCCTGGTGAGGGTTTGGGAGGAAAAGGTGCCCTAATCCACCATTGGTAGGAATGTAAACTAGTATAGCCATGTGGAAGACAGTATGGAGATACCTCAGAAATCTGAAAATAGATCCACCAGTGACCCAGCCATCCCACTCCTGGGAATTTACACAAACAAAATGAAATCAGCAGATGAAAGTGTTATCTTTATCCCATGTTTATTGCATTTCAATTCACAATAGCTAAGATACAGAATCAACCCAGATTTCCATTAACTGATGACTGGATAATGAAAATGTTGTATATATACACTATGGAATACTATTCAGCCATAAAAAAGAATGAAATTCCATTAGAATGGATGCAGCTAAATCAGTATACCTAGTGAAATAAGCCAATCTCAAAAAGACAAATACCATGTTTTCTCTGATATGTTGTAACTAATAGAGTAAAAAAAGGTATTTGAGCAGAATTGACATTTTAAGATGTGATTATTGTTTACAGCTCTTTTCTCTACTGTTGAGGAACAGTGTTTTGTTCTTCTTACTGTTGAATTCTTTATTAAGTGGAAGATTAAGCTTTGGATTATAAAATAAACTGAAAGCATGTCTTATAAAAATTAAAGAATAAGAAAGGAAAGAGAAGGGAACATGGGAACATGTGTGGGAGAAAGAACAGGGTGGGAAGTATCACTGTGCTCCTAAACCTGTATTTATGAAATGCATGAAATTTGGTCACCTTATATAAATAAAAATTTATAGAAAAAAATGAAAATTTAGTCTTGAGTGACTAAATACTTAGAGGATACCAGTAGAAAACACTCAAAAAGGCTCAGGAATTAGATGAACTGATGTTACAGTATAGGATTGAGGCAGGGGCCATTGTTAGGGGGATTGTTTGAAAATCTGAATAAGGATTCATATGTTTCCACCTCACAGGAAATGGAACTATATTGTGATTAAACCAGAGGAATTCCCAGCACAGAGCAGGGCAGAGGTGAGATGCTATTCTAAAAATGATGATTAAGTAAAAATTTTAGATAGTAGTTCATCAAGTTGTCTTTCCTTGGTTGACTCCAGACTTCTGTCATTCATATATATCCTAGGCAAGTTTGAGGATACTTCATGGAGAAATTTAACCATCCCAGGAAAACTGCTCAACAAATACTAGTATTTGAAGACTTCCACCCTCCCCCCCCCCACCCCCGCTCTGCCTCCTCAAAAAAAAAAAAAAAAAAAACCCCACAGAAGACACAGCTACAATGAATCTACCAGTTGACAAGCCCAACCTATACATACCTTGAGCTTTTAAGTCATCTTTTAGTTGTTAACCTTTTAAATATGGACAAACAGTCATGGCTTGTTAGCCATCTTCGGAAAATTTCCAATGTAAAGGACAGATGTAAGGTAAAAAAAAAAAAAAAAAAAAAGACAAGGCAGAAAATGAAGACACTTAAATAATTGACAACCTTAGGCAAATACTGCATAATGAAACAAAACAGGATGCTTTAAGAAAAAAAAGTGTTGGGGAAGGAGTGGTGTGGGGGGCATGTTGTGATACAACAGGTTAAGGGGCTATTTGGAACACTCACATCTCATATCAGAGTGCCAAGTTCAAGTCTGGTTATTATGCTTTGATCCATCTTCCTACTAATGCACATCCTAGGAGGCAGCCAGTGGTGGCCCAATTGCTTGGAGACTGCCACCTGGGTGAGAGACCCAGATGGAGTTCCTGACTCCTGGCTTCAGCCTGGCCCAGAGCAGGGTCTTGTTGCAGGCGTTTGGGGAGTGAACCAGTGGATAGAAGATATATTTCTGTCTCTATGTCTGTCTCTGTCTCTCTCTGTCACTCTTTCAAATGTTAAAGAAAATCTTTTTCTGAAAATGAAAAAATGGGGTGGGTGATAGAGTTCTTGGGATGAAAATTACAAAGCAGAAGTACATTCAGCAAAAGTGTTGAAAGATGCAGAAAACAGACAAAAATTAGAGAGAAAGGAGAAAATTATAGGTTAAATTTCTGTATCTAACCTGGTAGGAGTTCAGGAAATAGAGAACCTTTATTAATGTATTAAGGGAAACAACATGTAAATTTCTAAGACCAAAAGTAAAGATGTCACTAGTTTGAACAGTGAGAAAAAAAATAAAAGTTCACCTACTTGTAGAAAAGTATGTCATTCTGAAATTATTGAAACCACTAGAGATAACAAAATATCCTAAGGACTTTCAAATGGGGGTCTGGTGGGGAGATAAAGTCTTTGAGTAAAAATTTCATTGAATGTGTCAACCACACCTGAGAATTATAAAGACATTCTGGCAAAGCTTTCAATTTGCCAAGGGAAATATATTGGTTTGCACATTTTGGAATTTGTCAGATATATAGGACTCCTGTGTACCCATATATTCATCTCCCAAATTGAAAAGTTACCAACATTACTCTCTCCTTACCATATGTATTTATTAAATTTTAAAGCAGGGACCAGCACCGTGGTTCACTTGGTTAATCCTCCGCCTGCAGCGTCGGCATCCCATATGGGCGCCAGTTCTAGTCCCGGTTGCTTCTCTTCCAGTCCAGCTCTCTGCTGTGGCCCAGGAAGGCAGTGGAGGATGGCCCGGGTCCTTGGGCCCCTGCACTTGCATGGGAGACCAGGAGGAAGCATCTGGCTTCTGGCTTCAGATCTGTGTAGTGCTGGTCATAGTGGCCATTTGGGGGCTGAACCAACGGAGTGAGGACCTTTCTCTCTCTCTCTCTCTCACTGTCTAACTCTGTGAAATAAAAAAAAAATTAAAGCAAATTCCAATTTTATCTGTAACAGGTGGACATTTTAAGGAAACAAAACCATGATCTTAATACATTCAGTATGTTCAACAACAAAATTACTATCAAATACTTAGTTTCTGTTTAGTTTTCTCCATTTGACTCTTAGGTGTCTTTATAAGAGTTGCCTTGTTCAAATTAGGATCTGTAGCTTTTGGTAATCATGTCTTAAGTTTCACTGAAATGGGAATTATGTGCTTTTCTTTGTTATAAGTCTTCCAGCACTATTTGAATTTTCACGTCTATGCATCTGTTACTTTGAAAAATGAAAATTAACTTTAAAGTTACATGTACTTTGAGAACATCTTGGGAAATTCATCACAAAATGTGTGTGAAGAAAGGTTTAAATGTGACTTATGTATTACTCTTAACCGTTTTAGAGGCTGTCACATCAGGTGGACTTATTAATTGGATGTCAGCCTGAATGGTAAAACTTAACTAGCTTAGCCATTTAGACATAGAAGGAATCAAATGTTCCAGGTCATAGCAATAGCAGGACAGGATGGTAATACAGCACAAACTTTCATATGAAAAATAGTAAGCAAGAGAGGTTTCTGCACATCAAGCTCATTTTCACAAAACTGGGAACCTCAAAAGCTGTTGGACTTGTTTGCACAGAATTTTAATAGTTCTGATAAATTGATTTCCAGTATTGTAAGTGACTGGAAATGGAGAGGATAGAGGTGCTGTTGACAGGCTAATTGTTGCCAACATTGAGAGCTAACAAGAAAAGAAATGTGAATTCCAGCATAGGCAATGAAGAATGGTAGTCTGTTTCTCTCATGTAGAGGTAAAGAATCCAAAACATCTTTCAAGACCTTTTGAGGGGTGTGTGTGGCAGCTCAGTTATTTCGGCATTGACCTGGCCACTGTGTTGCTACTAGAGATTTTTAAATTAGCCACTTTCCCATTTGTAACCAGTTAATTTGTGAAACATACCCTAATTGCATTCCTGAATCCCACTTTAATTCTGATATATAGCCAAAGAATGGGAATGAAGGATGAGTGTCAAGAAAGTTAAGATGAAATACCAATTTGGACCACCTGGGGCATGTGCTTCCTTCATAGTTGGCCAGCTCACAAAAAACACTCAATTTAAACAAAATGTCTGTTGACTCTCTTGAGAGTTCACATTTGTCTTAGTAGTTTTTTCCTTCAACTCTGCTCTGCTCTTTCCCACCTCACTCCCAGCATAAGTTATATTGGTTAGTCTTAGTTAATTTCCAAGTGATGTATAGACATGTCTGCTGTAGTGGAATGAATATATAGATATATCTGTTTTTCATGATTCCAAAGGATGAACACCTAATTTATAAATTTGATTACATTTATTTTGGGTGTGTATTAGCTTGAGTGTCTTTATCTTTAATCCTGTGCTGTTTCTTTTAGAGGAAGTCCGCAAATGAAGGGGACACCCCATTTCAAGGAAGAACAGTGTGCTCCTGCATTAAATTTAGAAATGAAGAAAATACTGGATTTGCAAGCACCTATTATGAGGTACAGTGCTTTGGTATTTTGTGATTACAGTAGACAGTATAGTTGGTTAATTACATGACCAACCAGAAAGCTGGTTTCATTTCTTTTAATTGAAGATAACTTTTTAGTTCTAACAATGCTTGATTAAACCTTTTAGGATATTTGAAGCTTTGAAGATGGTATATCACTATATTTAAATTATTATGATAAAGCCCATGTATTTGATATACCAACTATAATTTTAATTTTGTATTTTTTGAGAAGGTCTAGAGTTGATATAGCATAATCCCTGTTCCTCAAAGATACTGATAAAAATCATACAAGTTGAAGAAAAGAGAAATATATTTTTTCCAAAGCCTTAATCTGTTTCTGGGGTATGTATGTATAATTGGAAGAAAGTTGAGCTTTCTCATCCAAATGTGAATATAGGTTTGTGACCAGGCAGCTAGAAGTACCAAAATATGAAATATCTGTTTTAGATCCGTTGATAGAAAAAAACAAGTAATCTTAGATATCATTTAGCTCTCTTAATTGCTTTACAGTTGACATTTGGTTCTCACTTAGGTTAGTTGTGTATTGTTAACATTTTGTAGATGTAGGAAAATTGATTTAAACAATATGAATCTGTGAAAACGGGACTTTTCTTTTTTAACTTAAAAAGACTTTCTAGATATGTTGTTGGGTGAAAAGACAAAGTGTATATATAATGCTACTGTTTGTTTTTTAAAGAAAAACGGTGATATTAGAATCTGTATTATTCTGGAAGAAAATATAAGAAACTGGGGGTGAAAACTGAGTTCTGAGGTGCAAATTTGGGGAAAAGATTTTCTATGTACTTCTAAAAAATACTGATTTACATGAATGTAATACCAACTTGAAAATTTTTTCCTGATTTACAGTTCCTCTAGAAACTTGAAGGAATCATTTCTTTTGTTGGAATGCCTTACAGAATGACACTGGAACATATAAATTAAATTGTATGCAAGTAGCTAGCTATTGTCTTGGTTTATTTAGTACATTCTTTTATATTTTATTTTCCTCATAGAAAAAAAGAATGCATTGTTATTTGCATAAATATGATCAGTGTTAGAAGAGATTGAATTCAGGTTACTTATCACTTTGGCCAAATGTTACAATCAATTAAGATTTTATTTATTTCAGCAAGGGAATCCTTTTCAAGAAGGTATTTGTGCATAAGGAATTTTTGTGTCTGAGTGCCAAGCAAAGTAAAACTGTGTAGGCTTGGCTTTCTATCTCCACCTGGTGGTAAAAACTGTGATGCATGGAAATAGGATAGGAAAAGAGCCTTTAGAAGTATTCTCTGCCCTCTTACACAGATTTGACCTAGCAGGTACTGAGTTTTAATCTATATTCTCATATGGCTGAAAATCTCTAAGATTTCATTCAAGACTCAGATAATTGCATTTCAGAGCAGTGTTTTTAACACTTGTAGTACATATCTGATGAAAATTTAAAATTTTTCTATACAATTTTGTATTGAATGAGAAGACAAAGATTTGTAACTAATGCTTTTCCCTCCCATCAAATGTTAGTAAAATAAAGTTAGGAATAGTGGTTATGCTGTTGGTTATAGGAACAAGAAGACTGTCATCTTTTATATTTGATTGAAGAAAAATTATGATTAATGTTAAACACCAACTTTTGTTACTGAGGACAGAATATTTAGAAAAGGTAAAAATTGCAATTTAATAACAATTTAACTTACAATTAAGGTCATTCTGTTTCTGATTTGCGAAACCACAGATTAGCTCATATTCCTTCATCCTGGTCACATAGGAAAGTACTATGTAATAGATAGTGTTTAATATAGTTAGTATTAAGTATATTTCCACTTTTGAGAAATGGTGATTTATGACTTAAATAATTCTCTATTGGTAATATTTACTTGTGAACAGTATTCCATTTCAATGTTTATAAGGCAGCACATGATATATCCAACAAGTGCTTTCTAACTATATTAGATCTTTCAGAATTTAGTCAAGCTTCTAAATTTTAAGAAATGCTGTCTGAGATACCAGATAGCTGTTAAAAAGTTCCTGAAGTCAGTGATTGTTGAGGCTCTCTGGGCATAAATTATATTGTACTTATGTGTATTTTGTATGTACTTATAACCAAATTTGATAATCAGAATTTAAGAACTAGGGGACAGTAGGTTAATCCTCCGCTTGCAGTGCCAGCATACCATATGGGCACCGGTTCTAGTCCCGGCTACTCATCTTCCAATCCAGTTCTCTGCTGTGGCCTGGGAAAGCAATAGAAGATGGCCCAAGTGTTTGGGCTCACGCACCCACACAGGAGAACAGGAGGAAGCACCTGGCTCCTGGCTTTGGATCAGCGCAGCTCCAGCTGTTGCGGCCATTTGGGGAGTGAACCAGCGGAAGGAAGACCTTTCTCTCTGTCTCTTCCTCTCACTGTGTGTAACTCTATCTCTCAAATAAATAAATAAAATATTAAAAAAAAGAACTAGTACACAACAAAAAGAAATAATTATTAATTATTATATTAGTACAGGGTCCTGACATCTCCCTGTCACACTGAGAATTAATACTTTAGTTTGCTACATTTTTTGTGAGGGAGGCATTCAGTGGTGGGAGGCATGTGGATAGCTTTTTGACAAGTTCTGCTTATCAGCCTTTATGGAAATATTCAGTATTTTTAATAATTCATTTATTTTTAATAAAAAACGATATATGAAGAATCTCTAAAAAGTTTACATAAAGTGTACATCATCTTTTAATTCAGTTTTTTCACAAAGTATTTGAAGTGGAGTGCCCTTATATCTCTGTTTTCCTGTAGTTTCTTTGTTATGTTTATCACAGTTATGTTGACATTACTGTCTGCTGATTCTGACATCAGGATTGCCTATTTGTTATTAACATTGATGGATTTTATAATTGACTCTGGGTCACATTTTCCTGTTTTCATGACTAGTCATTTTTCTTTTGCAGCATTGTTGATTATAGTGTTGTAGAGATTATCAGCTCTTAATTTGTCAGATCTTTGAGTTTCACCTGGAAGGTAGTTAAATTACTGGAGGATAGTGTTGATCTTGTTCCTCAATATTCTAACTTTCATATACAGTTAATTCTTTTAGGGTGAAAAGTAAAGGGAAACAGGGTGAGTATAATTTGAGAAAACCTGGGTTGACTCCTACTGAAAGGAAATTACCAGTAAACCAATGACTTCCTGCTGAATTGCTTCTCTTGACATGTGGTAACAGATCTAGAAATAAGGATTTTATACTCTACTCATCAAATGCTGCACATAAATTTTATCACTAAAATATGAATGAATTTGAAAGAATATGTAATTTACAAGGCAAACTTTCTGTAAACTTAAGATTTTAATTGATTACAAATACTGTGAAATTCAAGACCTAGAGCTGGAAAAGTAATACTTTATTCTAATAATGATTGGTACTTTTATAGTTGGGAAGCAAACATGTCAAATTCCTTCTTAGCTGGAATTTTTGGAGAATGAGTCATTGAAACCAGCTGTTCAAAGAATTGAAAAAAATATTAAAATACATTTTCAGCATTATGGGTTAAAATATTTCCAAAGTACATTCCTTTCTTCTTAAGGATAAAATAAAATGTAATAGAATATATATATATACACATAAAACATTTTCCATTCTTACACTTGAATTCTTTATAGTATTTGATACTTGACTGTTCTTTCCTAAATCCATCTTATTCCCTTGATTTTCTTGATATCAGTTTCTACCGGTTTCCGTGCTTCTTTTTCTTCTTTCTGACAGAATGTGTCCAGTCTCATTTATGAGTTCCCTTTTCCTTTGGCCCTTTCTCTCTTCTTTTCTCCTTTCTACAGACATAGGTATCATATATAACTAGCACTGCCCTTAGACATGGGCATATATTGATGACCAAAGCAAGCATTTATTTCCCCATTAGGTAAGTAAGTGTTAAGTATCTTTGTAAATATAGATAAATGTTGAAATCATGCTGCATTTTGATTGTTAGTATTTGACTAAGAGATCTTCTGAAAGGATAAGCTATTTTATTCACCCTTCAATATTCAACAGCGAGCATAGTAACCTGTCTCAAAGAGTGGACTTAATAAATGTGGAGGAAGGGTATTGAGTCTTTAACCTAGCAGCTGAGATACCTGAATCCCATATCAGATTAACCGGATTCTGTACCCAGCTCTGACTCTTGACTCCAGCTTCCTGCCAGTGCAGTCCCTTGGGAGTAGTGGTGCTGGCTCAAGTGATTAGGTTCCTACCACTCACTTGGGAGATCAGGGTATGTCCCTGGCTTCTTGGTCCATCCCAGTTCCTGCTACAATGGGCATTTGGGAACTGAAAAAGTAGATGTTATCTCTCTCTATGTGTCTCTAAATTGTCTCTAAATTGCTGAAGGAATTAACAATGTGAGACTCACTGATACTTGAGAAATACACTGGTCTGGAACTGTGGTCTCCAATACAATAGCCACATGAAGTTACTTAATCGAAAGTAAGTAAAATTTTAGTATTCAGTTCTTTAATCACTCTAGCCATATTTCTTTTTTTTTTTTTTTTTAAGATTTATTTATTTATTTATTTATTTGAAAGGTAGAGTTAGAGAGAGGGAGAAATAGAGATTCATTCCGCCAGTTTGCTCCCCAGATGGCCACAAGGGCCAGAGCTGAGCCAGGCCAAAGCCAGGAGCCAGAAGCTTCCTCTGGTCTTCCATGTGGGTACAGAGGCCCAAGCACCTGGGCCGTCTTCTCCTGCTTTCCTAGGCGCTTTAGCAGGGAGTTGGATTGGAATTGCAGCAGCGGGGACTTGAACTGGCCTGCTTATTGGATGCTGGCACCACAGGCCAAAGTTTAACCCCACCACAGCACCAGCCCCCTCTAGCCGTATTTAAACTGTTTAGGTACCACATGTGGTTAGTAGAAGTTCATTGGATAATGCTCGAGGATTGTTACCTCTGTACTCCGTGGCTCTGGATTGTCATCCTATTACTGATTATATCTGTTCTTCTTGTGGTTTCTCTCTGCCTCTTTTCCTTTCTTGTCATCTGACACTTAGGCTTCTGTGTTATGATTTGCTATTTCATTATTTCTAGTTTTTAATCCAATTTAGTAAGTTGTGACTCAGTCTTTTATTTCTTCTAGAATTTTTGATTCTAGATTGAATTTTAAATATATGTGTATATATATGTGGTTTATATGTCTAGAAAGTTGCTTCATAGTAAATTGCAGATAAATGCAGATGTTTTGTAAATGGTTCCATGATCCTTTTTATATGAGTATTCTCTGAAACAGTTATAAACATAATTATTGCTTTCTGAGTATACCCACTTACAAGTTAATTGATTCTAGATTGCTTTCTTCCCTGCAGTTTGCAGTCTGTATCAGAAGATCTCCTAGTTGCTACTTCTGATGGACTTCTTCATCTTATTCACTGGGAAGGAATGACAAATGGGAGGAAAGCCATTAATCTTTGCACAGTACCCTTTTCAGTAGACCTACAGTCATCTAGAGGTAGTTATACTTTCTACATAAGATAGAACCAATTTTAATGTTTTATATCATCTAGTTGGATAATGGATAAATAAGGTTTGGTATATTTACACAATAGAATAGTATTCAGCCATCGAATTAATGATACAGTATTATTTGCTGCAGAATGGAACTGGAGAACATTTTGTTGAATGAAATAAGTCAGACACAGACAGATACCACCTGTTCACTCTTTTGTAGAAGCTAATGAAAAGAATCTGTCTGAATGTAGAATACTTAGAGGATGGGAAAGGTAGGAGAAATACAGGAAGGCTCAGTAATAGGTACCAACACACAGTTAGGTGAAAGGAATAAGTTCTAGTGTTCCACAGCACATTGAGGTGAATGTGGTTCACAATATAATCTACTATATATTTTATAAACAAATAGAAGAGATTTTGAAAGCTGAAAACATAAAGTAATGACAAGACATAAATATCAACCATACTGATTTAATCAGCACATGCCTTATACATTTGTTGAAGTGTCACACTGTACCCCATCAATACTTATTATTATTGTTAACCAGTAATTTTTTAATGAGTAAGTAGAAATACTTACTAAGAAATACTTACTAAGCTGATTTGATCATTAAAATTATATGCATGTATCAAATTATCACACTGAATTCCTCAAATATATGTTCCTAATAATTATTTATATTTTTAGAAAGTTTTCTGAGGATGATTGCTGGATTTTTTTTTTCTCCTTTGGAGTTAATTATGTAGATAGGACAGGATGGGAGCAAACAGAGAGAAAGATTCAGTAGGAAAGGGTAATTTAATTGTTTAGGGTTTTTAGATTATGGGTTTTGCCCTTTTAACTATTGTTACAGGGTCCACAAGCAAAACTGGGAGGAAATAGGAGTAGGCATTTGGCCTTAGTGCTTAAGATGCTCATATCCTGTTCAAGGACTTGAGTTTGATTCCCAGCTCCACTTCTCATTCCAGCTTCCTGTTGATGCAGATTCTGGGAGGCAGTGATGATGGCTCAAGTAATTGGGTTCCTGCCACCCATATAGGAGACCTAAATTGACTTCCTGGCTTCAACCTCAGCTGAGCACCAGCTGTGACAGGCATTTGGGGAGTGAATCAGTGTGTAGGCTCTCTCTCTGTCTCTTTGCCTTTCAATAAATATATTTTTTAAGTGAGAGAATACTTTACCGTATTTATAATCCTATTTCATGTACTTATTTTTTTCATCAGTAGGTTCATTTCTGGGCTTTGCAGATGTGTACATCAGAGACATGGAATATTGTGCCACATTGGATGGGTTTGCTGTTGTGTTTAATGACGGTAAAGTTGGATTTATTACACCAGTATCAAGTAGATTCACTGCAGAGGTATGACTCACTTACTTTGAATGTTTATTTTGCTTTTATTGATTTTCCCACTGTCTTTTTAATGAAACTATATTTACAAATAGTACAAGTAGAATTACATTAGACATGTTGAAAAAAGATTACAGGGGCCCAGCACTGTGGCATATTGAGCTTAGCCTCCGCCTGCATAGCGGGCATCCAATATGGGTGCCAGTTCATGTCCAGGCTGCTTCTGTTCCAATCCAGATTTCTGCTGGTGCATCTGGGAAAGCAGTGGAGGATGGCCCAAGTGCTTTGGGCCTCTGCACCCATGTGGGAGACCTGAAGAAACTCCTGGCTTCAGATTGGCCCAGCTCTGGCTGTTGTAGCCTTTGGGGAGTGAACCACTGGATGGAAGACCTTTCTCTCTGTCTCTCCTTCTATCTGTCTGTAACTCTACCTCATAAATTAAAAAAAAAATTGTGGAAAAAAAGAAAAAAGGTTACGGTTCCTGCCTCTTCCCTACTCACCTCAGGTCCAATTTCCACTCTTAGTGACAACTCTTAAACTAGTTATTTTGATATTTATGTCTACTACCATGAATTATTTCTTTTAACTTTTAGGCTGTGTTTAACTTCTTACTATGCAAAAAGACAATTTACTCCCCTCTTACCTGCTCCCACCATACTTACATATTGTCTTCCTTCCCAATATCTTGTGATTTTGATTAATTACATATTGTTGACTTTTTATTAATATATAAACCCCATTATTAGTACCTGGGCTATATAGTATTTAAGGATTATTCTTCCTTTTCTGCATATTCTCCCTGCAGCTGGGAATTAATAATTGTTTTATTCTGTACATTTGCTTAATTTTTGTATACTTAACACTTAACCTGAAACTATCTTCCAGTTGTATAAATATCCTGTCAGTTTTTTCAGGTGCATTGAAGATAGTAATCCTTTTACTCTTTTATTCCCACACAATCCTTTGATAAATAATGGTTAATTAATATATGGATAATTAATATATGGATTTGGTTGGTTTCCTTTCATTCAAAAATCAAATTCATTGAAAACTGAGTTCTGGTGGGCTGGGTCTACTGTAATCTTTACCACAGGGTGAGCTGACTGGATTATTTCCTTGGGGCACCCCCTGTCTTCAGATTCATTCCCTCTTCCCTTCCCAACTCTTCCCCTCACCTCCAGCGTTCTTGCGAAAGAGTCCTGCAGTCCTTTCTAGGGGATATATACCTTTTGATACTAATAGTATGGGATTTGAGTTACAGAAGAATTAGGCAAGAGAGTCCCAATTCAAGATGTAAACTTTTACTTTCTGTATTTTCAGTGTTGTCCATAGACCTGTGGGGTTTTTGTTTTTCTTTAAAGAAAAATATATGTTTTTTTGTTAGAGTGGATGGAAGATATTCTTGCTGCTCAACGTTGTGGAGGTACTATAGGAGGACCTAGCTGCTTTTACTTACTTATTTATTTATAAGTCAGGATTAGAGGGAGACACAGAGATCTTCTATCCGCTGGTTCCCTTCCCTAGATGGCAGCAACAGCCAGGACTAAGCCAGGCCGGAGCCAGGAGCCAGGAGCTTCTTCTGGGTCTCCCATGTTGGGTCAGGGACCCAAGCACTTGGGCCATCCTCTGCTGCTTTCCCAGGTACCTTAGTAAAGAGCTGAATCAGAAGTGAAGCAGCCAGAACTCAAATTGGTTCCTATATTGGTATACCAACACTACAGGCAGCAGTGTAACTCACTGAACTTTTTAAATAGTGTTTGAACAAGTCCTACTGCTTTTAGTCCAGCCATTCAGACATCTGAATTCAGAGGCCTTTGTGAACTCTACAGTGTAAATTTAGCTGTTTCTCAGCATTATTTACTTGCCAGTTAAAGAATCTGTTAATCCATGTGCTTTGTCCATCTTCCAAAATTAATGCAGCCTCCTCTCCCTTTCCTGTCTTTGCCAGTTTGTTTGGATTTATTTACTGAAAGAACAATAGAGAGAGAGATCTTTGATTTGCTAATTTACTCCCCAAATGTCCCCGATAGTTAGGTCTTTCCCAGGAGCCAGGAGCTCTATATGGGGCTCCTAAGTGTGTGAAATGTCCCCATCTATATGGGCCATCTTCTGCTGCTTTCCCAGGTGCATTAGCAGGGAGCTGGATGGGAAGCAGAGCAGCTGGAACTGGAATAGGCTCCCTGATGTGGGATGCCTGCATTGGAAGCAGCAGCTTAACCAGTTTGCCACAATGCTGGCCCCATTTTTTTTTTTTTAACACTTATTTATTTGAAAGAGTTATAAAAAAAGGGACAGACAGATTTTCTGGCACACTAATCTACTCTTGTGATGCCACAATGGCTGGGACTGGGCCATGCTGAAGCCAGGAGCCAGAATTTTCTTCCAGATCTCCTACATGGGTGCAGGTTCCCAGTACTTGGGCCATCCTGCACTGCTCTTCCCAGTCACATTAGCAGGGAGCTGATCAGAAATGGAATAGCTGGTCCTCAAACTGGTGCTGTGATACGGAATGTTGTGCCACACTGCCAGACTACTGTGCTTTTTGAAAGTACCGTTTCTGTTACAAAGTTGGGTTTTAGAAGTCAGAGAAGCCAAATATTCTTGTTAAATCTACTCTAATTGGAAACAGTTTCTAGTTTTTACGGGCCTTTTGTTGTCATTCTACCTAGTATTGGCTTTAGTATTCCTAATATTTTCCTTTATCAACTGCATTCAAATAGTAAAGTATAAATAATGTTTCATAAAGAAGAATAAAAATGAACTTAAAATCTCATTTTTCCTGTAAGATACATAAATACTGTAATTGTATTTGGCACTTAAACACTTATACTGAAAACAAAAAATATTCGGGTTGAAAGATGGTTGACTTTTTTTTTTTTTTTGAAGACTTATTTATTTATTTGAGAGGCAGATTGCATGGGAATCTGAGCTTACACTGAGGACTGCACAGATCCTTTGTGTAGTCCTTGGGACAAAGCGGACGAATATTATACCCACAGGGGCTAGTGCTCAGGCACTGATTGCCTACAAGGAGAATAGCTCAGCTGTGCGGAATTACTTCCCTTCTGAATAAAAAAAGAGAAGATTTACCACACCAAACCTGGGTGTGTCACCTTTGGCATACTCTTAACCCTGAAGAACAGAAAAGAGCTCCCTGGCCACACCCACCATAAGCCTCTAAAGATTCACCAAAAGCAGACAGTCCACTTAATCTAGAATCATAGTATAATGGGAAAAGCCACCACAGCGAGGAAAAAAAAAAGAAGAAACCAAAGAATATCTCCACAATGCCAAGCAACAAACGCAGAAACCAAGGAAACAAGAACAAGGAAGACATTATGGTGCCCCCAAATGAACATGACACTCCAATTCAAGATTATGAAGATGATGAGATAGAAGAAATGCAAGATACAGATTTCAAAAAATTTATGATAACATTTAGAAGTTTTCACAAACAAATGCTTGAGCTACGGAATTCCTTACTGGACAAGATAGAAAATCTCCTTCGAGAAAATGAAATCTCAAGGAGGAATCAAAATGAAACACAGAAACTAGTAGAACAGGAAAGTGTGATAGTGAAGAGAAATCAAAATGAGATGAAGAACTCAATAGATCAAATAACAAATGCTTTTGAGAGCCTTAAAAACAGATTCAGTGAGATAGAATAAAGAATATCGGACTTAAAAGACAGAGAACAGGAAAGTATACAGTTAAACCAAAGAAAAGAAGAAAAAATTAGAAATCTAAAAAATATTGTTGGGAATCTACAGGATACTATTAAAAAAAAACCAACAATCAGGTTCTAGGAGTTCCTGAAGGCATGGAGAGAGAGAAAGGATTAGAAGGCCTGTATAGTGAGATACTAGCAGAAAACTTCCTGGATTTGGAGAAGCACAGAGACCTCCAAGTACAGGAAGCTCATAGAATCCCCAGTAAACATGACCAAAAGAGATCCTCACCACAACATGTTGTAATCAAACTCACCACAGTGAAACAGAAAGAAAAGATTCTAAAATGTGCAAGAGAGAAACGTCAGATTACTCTCAGAGGATCTCCAATTAGACTCACAGCAGACTTCTCATCAGAAACCCTACAAGCTAGAAGGGAATGGCGAGACATAGCCCAGGTACTAAGAGAGAAAAACTGCCAGCCCAGAATATTATATCCTGCAAAGCTCTCATTTGTAAATGAAGGTGAAATAAAGACCTTTCATAGTAAACAGAATTTAAAAGAATTTGTCGCCACTTGTCCAGCCCTGTAAAAGATGCTTAAAGATGTGTTACACACAGAAACACGGCCATCAATATGAAAGAAGGTAAAGGAAGAAAACCTCCCAGTAAAAGATCACAGGAAGTTCAAAGCGTATGTTAGAAATAGCTTTGTGAAAATGGCAGGGCAAAGTCACTACTTATCAATAGTCATATTGAATGTTAATGGCGTCAACTCTCCAGTTAAAAGGCACAGATTGGCTGAATGGGTTAAGGAACAAAACCCATCTATTTGCTGCTTACAAGAAACACATCTTTCCAACAAAGATGCTTGCAGACTGAAAGTGAAAGGTTGGAAAAAAATATTCCATGCTAACAGAACCAAAAAGAGCTGGCAAACCCATCTTAATATCAGACAAAATAAACTTTAACACAAAAACTGTTAAGAGAGACAGAGAGGGGAACTATATAATGATTAAGGGATCAATTCAACAGGAAGATGTAACTATTATAAGTGTATATGCACCTAATTACAGGGCACCGGTTTATTTAAAAGAGATGTTAGAGACTTAAAGGGAGACTTAGACTCCAATAGAATAGTATTGGGGGACTTCAGTACTCCACTTTCAGAAATAGACAGATCAACCGGACAGAAGATCAACAAGGAAACAGCAGATTTAAACTACACTATATCCCAAATGGATCTAACATATCTACAGAACTTTTCATCCTACACTTAAGGAATTTCTATTCTCAGCAGTACATGGAACTTACTCTAGGATTGACCACATACTAGGCGTTAAAGCGAGTCTCAGCAAATTCAAAAGAATTAGAATCATACGATGCAGCTTCTCAGACCATAGAGGAATGAAGTTGGAAATTATCAACTCAGGAATCCCTAGAGCATATGCAGACACATGGAGATTGAACAACATGCTCCTGAATGAACAATGGGTCATAGAAGAAATCAAAAGAGAAATCAGAAATTTTCTGGAATGAAACACAACATATCAGAACTTATGGGATACAGCAAAAGTAGTGTTAAGAGGAAAGTTTATATCAATAGGTGCATACATCAAGAAATTGGAGAGGCACCAAATAAATGAGCTTTGAATGCATCTCAAGGATCTAGAAAATCTGTAGCAAACCAGACCCAAAACTAGTAGGAGAAGAGAAATAATTAAAACCAGAGAAGAAATCAACAGAATTGAATCCAAAAAAAAAAAAAAAAAAAAAAACCACCACACATTACAAAAGATCAGCCAAACAAAGAGCTGGTTTTTGAAAAAATAAAATTGACACACAATTGGCCCAACTAACTAAAAAAAAGAAAAGACCCAAATCAGTAAAATCATAGATGAAAAAGGGAATGTAACAACAGAAACCACAGAAATAAAAAGAATCATCAGAAATTGCTACAAGGACTTGTATGCCAGCAAACAGGGAAATCTATCAGAAATGGAGATTCCTGGACACATGCAACCTACCTAAATTGAACCAGGAAGACATAGAAAACAAACCCATAACTGAGACAGAAATTGAATCAGGAATAAAGGCCCTCCCAACAAAGAAAAGCCCAGGACCAGATGGATTCAAGGCTGAATTCTGCCAGACATTTAAAGAAGAACTAACTCCGATTCTTCTCAAACTATTCAGAACAATTGAAAAAGAGGGAATCCTCCCAAATTCTTTCTATGAAGCCAGCATCACCTTAATTCCTAAGCCAGAGAAAGATGCAGCATTGAAAGAAAATTACAGACCAGTCTCCCTGATGAACATAGACGCAGAAATCCTCAGTAAAATTATGGCCGATAGAATGCAACAACACATCAGAAAGATCATCCACCCAGAGCAAGTGGGATTTTTCCCTGGTATGCAGGGATGGTTCATTGTTCACAAATCAATCAATATGATACACCACATTAACAGACTGCAGAAGAAAAACCATATGATTATCTCAATAGACGCCGAGAAAACATTCGATAAAATACAACACCCTTTCATGATGAAAACTCTAAGCAAACTGGGTCTGGAAGGAACATTCCTCAATACAATCAAAGCAATTTATGAAAAACCCACAGCCAGCATCCTATTGAATGGGGAAAAGTTGGAAGCATTTCCACTGAGATCTGGCACCAGACAGGGATGCCCACTCTCACCACTGCTATTCAATATAGTTCTGGAAGTTTTAGCCAGAGCTATTAGGCAAGAAAAAGAAGTTAAAGGGACAGAAATTGGGAAAGAAGAAGTCAAACTATCCCTCTTTGCAGATGATATGATTCTTTATTTAGGGGATCCAAAGAGCTCTACTAAGATACTATTGGAACTCATAGAAGAGTTTGGCAAAGTAGCAGGATATAAAATCAGTGCACAAAAATCAACAGCCTTTGTATACACAGACAATGCCATGGCTGAGGAAGAACTTCTAAGATCAATCCCATTCACAATAGTTACAAAAACAATCAAATACCTTGAAATGAACTTAACCAAGGACGTTAAAGATCTCTACGATGAGAATTACAAAATCTGAAAGAAATAGAAGAGGATGTCAAAAAATGGAAAAATCTCCCATGCTCATGGATTGGAAGAATCAATATCATCAAAATGTCCATTCTCCCAAAAGCAATTTATAGATTTAATGTAATACCAGTCAAAATACCAAAGACCTTAAAAAAAGATGCTGAAATTCATATGGAGGTACAGGAGACCTTGAATAGCTAAAGCAATCTTGTACAACAAAAACAGGTATGTGGTGCATTGAGTTAAGCCACCATTTGTGATGCCAGTTACCCATGTTAAAATGCCTAGGTTTGAGTCTCAGTTCTAGCTTCCCACTAATGGGCACTGGGGGAGGCGGCAGATGATTGTCTAAGTGTAGGAGTCCCTGCCATCCATTTGGGAGACCTGGGTGGAGTTCTAGGCTCCTGGCCACAGCCTAGTCCAGTCATAGCATTTAGGGAGTGAATCAGTGGATAAGAAAATTCTTTTTCTCTCTCTCTCTTTTCCCATGCCTTTGAAATAAATAAAAACAAAACTCCTCTACACATGTCAAAAAATCATCTTTAAAAAACAGTAATACTTTCCACAGACTAGAAAGTTAATTATGTGCTAGTTAATGAGAATAAAAGCAAATTAGATGTAGTTCTGCTCTGAAAATGTTTGCATTCTAGCAAAAAGCAGTCAGCTTCATTTAATTTTGAGTTTGGCGATTGAGATTGAATATCCATTCTTTAGCATTTTATAAATAGGTGAAGTAGCAATGCACTGAGCTTATTTGGAAAAAACCGTTGAGCCAATTAATGGAAAGCTTAACTTTTACCTTTTTTTCTTTTTTACTTTGATGTTTTAAGGGAAAAATACTTTGATGGTAGTACTGATGTTAATATTTTTCTATGCAGAGGAAACCATTGAAAGTCTTATTAAAACTATATATTTATTGAATGGGAATTAATGTGGACTACAGAAAATTTGGGGAAGCATTTTGAAGCCTTAACTGTTTTTCTTTATTATAGCAGCTTCATGGAGTTTGGCCACAAGATGTTGTTGATGGAACGTGTGTAGCAGTAAATAACAAGTATCGGTTAATGGCATTTGGTTGTGCAAGGTAATTGATATAAACTTCTGAATTTTTAATAATTGTTGCCCCAAATCTTGCTTTTTAAAAAATATTCTTAACCCACTTATAAACTTTATCATGTCTATCGTAATTTATGCATAAGCCTTAATATAGAATCTAAAGATGTTTGATTAGATTGAAGCAAGCCAGAGGTAAAGGACAGATTTTAGAGTTTGAGCATTTTAATTTGTAAAAGCAAATTTTTCTTTAGCAACAGAAAATTGAGTTACAAGTTAAAAAGAATAAATTAGAATTTATTAAAAGAGGTTCTTCATTAAAAGGAGGGTCTGGAAGATATTTTTTCTTTTTTAAAAATTATTTTATTAACACCAGTGTTGACATTGCCTTAAAGTTAGTGATTGTGCCATAGTTAACAAGCACATTTAAAGCTCATTTGTCAACTTAGTTTCTTGCTTTAATTCATATAATGTAGGTGTTAGAAAGGAGACTGAATAAAATTCATTTCTCACAGGCTGGCATTGTGGTGTGGCAAGTGAAGCCACTGACCACCATGCCTGGCATCCGATATGGGTGCTGGTTTTTGTCACAGCAGCTCCACTTCCCATCTAGCTCCTAGCTAATGGCCTGGGAAAGCATCAGAAGACTTTGGGCTCCTGCCATCCATGTGGGAGTACCAGAGGAAGCTCCTGACTTTGGCCGTAGCTGCTGCAGCCATATGGAGAGTGAACCAGCAGATGGAAGATCTCTGTCTCTCTCCATCTGACTTTCAAATAAAAAAAAATCTTAAAAAAACCAAAATTTTGTCAAGTATCTGTGTGCCTATAATGTACCAAGTCTAGTTCTAAGCACTTGGAATACATTAGAACTGAGGTACCTGAATGTTGATCTTATGTTTTTGTTCAAATAAAAAGATTGTCAGTTATAGTAATGCTTTGTACTATGTATAGAGTTTTTTAATTTTTAAAACCATTTCTTAAATATAAAATTTCATTTTTCCCTTAAAATGAGGCTTGGTTAATCTATAGAGCATACATCTAGAAAAGTCCCCATCTGCATAATCTCTACCCAAGTTGAATATCAAAGGTTTTTTTTTTTTAATTAGTATGAATAACTACATCTTATAAATCACCACTCTAATTTTACTCTTAATCTCTGTAAAGCAAGGACTCTTCATCCTTGACCTTGACTGGTTCTCTGTACACTACTTCTCACTAAAAATTTAAGTATAAAAATGTAAGTTTAACTTAGTACACAAAAGAAAGAAAAGCTTTTTTTTCTGTATTTATGGATTTGATTTGTTCAGAATTTTACAGTTTGTTCATGAGTACATAATTTTCCTTTCTGTTAGTCTCCTAATTAGCCAAAGTTATACTTATCTCATAAAGCAAATTGAAAAAGGTTTCCTCTCATTCTCTTTTCTGTTCATCTTTGAGTGTAAGATAGAATTCATTAGTGAAGCTCTCTGGGCCTGGATCTTTGTTTTTGAAAATTTTTTTGGACTGCTGATTGAATTCAGTTTTTAAACTAGATTTCAGAGGATTTAAGTTTGCTTTCTCTGAGTCAAATTATATTTTTTCAGGAATTTATTTCTTTCATATATACTGTCATTTATTGCCATGAAGTTTATAATATTCTTTTTCAATTTTATGTTGTGAAATAAAAACCTACATACAGAATAGTGCATAATCCTCAAATTCACAGTTTAACAAGTAATTATAGTACAATTATCTGTTCATAATGAGATCAAGAAGTAGAACATTGTCAGTTTATCGTAAACTCTACTCCTGCTACTTCTTTTTTTAAAATTTATTTATTTATTTGAAAGGCAGAGTTAGAGCGGGAGAGACAGAGGGAATATCTTCCATCCACTGGTTCATTCCCCAAATGATTACAATGGCCAGGGCTGGGTCAGCTGAAGGCATGAGCTTCATCCAAGTCTCCCACAGGGTGCAGGGATGCAAACACTTGGACCATCTCCACTGCTTTCCCAGGCACATTAGCAGAGAGCTGCATTGGAAACAATCCAGGAAGGAAACAATGATTGGAAGTAGAACAGCTGGGACACAAACTGGTGCCCATTTGGGATGCTGGTGTTGCAGGCTGCAATTTAACCCACTATACTGTAACACCAGTCCCAACCCTGCAACAGCAAATTTTTTTTTAAGATTTATTTATTTATTTGAAAGTCGGAGTTACACAGAGAGAGAAGGAGGGGCAGAAAGAGAGGTCTTTCATCTACTGATTCTCTCCTGAATTGGCTGCAACTGCCGGAGCTGTGCCCATCAGGAAACAGGAGCTTCCTCTGGGTCTCCCACATGGGTGCAGGGGTCCAAGGACTTGGGCCTTCTTCTACTGCTTTCCCAGGCCATAGCAGAGAGCTGGATCAGAAGCAGAGCAGCGGGGACTCGAACCAGCGCCCATATGGGATGGTGGCAGCTTTACCCTATGTTACAGTGCTAGTTCCCCTTGCAACTTCTAATCCTAACTTGAATCCTCTCTTCGATTCACTTGGTAGCCATTTTTTCCTCCTTTTTTATAATCATTTATTTTTCTTTATAGTTTTTCCATGCATGTATACACTCTTGAAGAGCACCATTTAGTTATACCTGATTTTGAACTTCATCTGAATAAAATATTTTGTGTCTTGTTTTTTTTTTTTTTTCAGAGTCATCCATGTTGTTACCAGGAGTTGTAATCTTTTACTACCATTATTGATTTATAAATAGTGCTTTAGTTTATGAATGTACCGTAATCCCTCCACTTTGCCATTGAGAGACATTTGCATTATCAGGCTAGACATTCTCTTGTATAAATCCAATGTCTTAAAAATGAGATAATAAGTTCCAAATAGGGTCCAATAACCAGTTCATATTCAGATTAACCCAGTTGTCTACAAGATTTCTTTTTAGCTTCCTTGTTCCATCTAGAATCTATCAAGATTCATGAAATAGGGGCCAGTGCCATGGTACACTAGGTTAATCCTCCACCTGCAGCTCCAGCATCCCATATGGGTGCCGGGTTCTAGTCCCAGTTGCCCCTCTTCCAGTCCAGCTCTCTGCTGTGGCCTGGGAAGGCAGTGGAGGATGGCTCAAGTGCTTGGACCCCTGCACCTGCATGGGAGACCAGTAGGGAGCACCTGGTTCCTGGCTTCGGATGGGTGTAGCTCCAGCCATTGCAACCATCGTGGGAGTGAACCAGTGGAAGAAAGACCTTTCTCTCTGTCTCTCCCTCTCACTGTCTGTAACTCTGTCAAATAAATAAATAAAAATCTTAAAAAAAAAGAATCATGAAATATATTAGTTTATTATTTCTTTTAATCACCATTTACCCATACCAATCTGTAAACCCTTTTCCCTGACATTCATAGCATTGACTTTCTAACCAGCTCAATTCTTTGTAGACTGTCCCACATTCTAAATGTGCCTCATTGTTTCCGCCTGGTGGCTTTTAATTATTTTCTCTTTACACTTAGAGTGATTACCCTGGAAGCTAGTTTGTTGAGCAAATATGGTCAAATGACTGGGAAGCTCCATGTCAGGCTTAACACAGCATTTAGAGAATGAATGCAATTCCCACATTATCCGTGTTTAGGGATAGCATGCAGGGATCTAAGAATGTCAGATGTTGGGATCCAGAAGAGGTATTACAACCTCATGCTGCAAGCTTATAAGCTCTATGGATGGAAGGGGCTAGCCCTTTCCCTGGGATAAGGAAGGTAGAAACTGGCTTATAACCTTTTAGTCACTCCAGTTTTCATCCACTGGGAGATTACCATGCTTCTAATATGATCATGAGTTGAGATAGGTGAAAATAAAAATAAACTTTTTTAAAAAGAATATTTGGACTCCTTACTGACTCTACAGTAGCTTAGCAACCCAGGGGTAGCAGTTCACAGTTGTCAGTTACAAACAGAAGAATTGCTGCTAGTCAGTGCTCTCAGCAAGAGGTAATTTGTCCGGCTAGGCAGCTTGTCTGGAAAGAAATGTTTGTCAGGTATTTGGCTTCTGAATAAGATGGGAAAACAGATCAGATTTTCCCTCCCACTTGAAACAAAAAACTGGGCAAAAATATGAAACAGCTGTCTCGAATTCAACACATGGGATACAAGGCAGTGAAGCATGGTAATGACTGAAAGATGGAAAACAAAATGAGCTTTACAGTGACCCTTGCTTTTATTACTACGGGAATGTTTCTGGGATGCAACACAGAGAGAAGGAGCCAGAACTGAGTTGAGGACATGGAAATGAGAGACGGAAGATCAGAGCAACTTGAATTCACAGAAAAGGCACAAAAGAGGAACAAGTGGTACAAAAAGAAAACTCCAGAGAGCTCTAGCATAATCCATCTGGTTTATTAAACCAGGTCATGGAAGATAATAATTCTCTAGTCAAACTTCTAGAGTTGAAAAATAAGAGGTCTGATGTGAAAAAGACACTGGTGTTATTAATGACAGATTAAATATTGCAGAAGGAAAGACTAATAAAAACATGAGAAATTACCCAAAATTAAAGAGAAAATAATTAAAAGCAGTCTTTCAGAGAGCTATAAGAAAACTTTAAGCAGTTTACTGTTACAAATATTTTACATAGTCCCAGATCTAACTTTTGAGAAGAGTAGGACCTGACTGGTAATGAATGACAGCTGCTGTCTGGGCATGGGCTGTAAGCATTGCAACACAGGGGGTTAAGCTGCTGTTTGGGATGTCTGCGTTCCATAATGAAGAACCTCTTTGAAGCTGGCACCTGTGCTTCTGACCCACCTTTTGGCTAATGCATCCTGGGAGGCAGCAGATGGTGGCCCTGGTTCCTGGGCCCCTGCACCCATGTAGGAGACCCAGATAGAGTTCCAGGCTGTTAGGGGCGTTTGGGGAGTGAACTAACTGATGGGATGATACCTCCCTCTCCCTCTCTTCCTTTTAAGTAGATGAAAATAAATGAATGAGCATTTCTTTAACAGGCTGATGTGGGGACATAACCGGTTTTCTCCTACCACAAAGGAGCACACCAAAGTGCCAAAAACATTTTGGAAATTATAATCCAGTGTCATCCTATTGTGTGCAAAAGCAGCCCTAATGAAAAAGTATTTTAAGAACATTGCGGGGCTGGTGCTGTGACTCACTTGGTTAATCCTCTGCCTGCGATGCCAACATCCCGTATGGGTGCTGGGTTCTAGTCACGGCTGTTCCTCTTCCACTCCAACCCTCTGCTGTGGCCCGGGAAGGCAGTAGAGGATGGCCCAAGTGCTTGTGCCCATGCACCTGTGTGGGAGACCAGGAGGAGGCACCTGGCTCCTGGCTTCAGATCAGTGCAGCACTGGCCATGGCGGCCATTTGGAGGGTGAGCCAACGGAAGGAAGACCTTTCTCTCTCTCTCTCACTGTCTATAACTGTCAAATAAATTAAAAAAAAAAACTGGTTTCTCTTTTTAATTATGATGATGAAGTATGTATCTCAGTGTCTGTTACATTTTTTTTAACTGAAAATAGCTCCATAAGCAGAAATTAGATTTTTAAAAAATTATTGTGGTTCAGTTTTTGGAAGGTAGTTTAGAAGTAATAGAGAACTTTTGGTTTTGTTTTGTTTTTTACGATTGATGGATTTATTGAAAGAGCTACAAAGAGATCTTCCATCTGCTGATTCACTCCCCTGATAGCCACAAGGGCTGGGGCAGGGCTAGGACGAAGCCAGGAGTCAAGAGCTTCTTCCAAGTCTCTCACATGGTGCAGGAACTCAAGCACTTGGGCCATCCTCTGCTGCTTTCTTGTAGTAGGAGGGAGCTGGATTGGAAGTGAAGCAGCCAGGACACGAACTGGCACACATAATGGATGCCGTTATCGCAGGCGGCAGCTTAACCTGCTACACCACAGCCCTAGCCCCAGAACTTTCGTTTTTGGTTTCTGGTCCTTCATAAGGTTGATCTTTGGGAAGATTTTTTGAAATTAAATAATGACATATACACAAAAGAGCATATAGTGTGTATAATACATGAAAAGTGTTAAAATGAAGATCTATAAATTAATATCCAACCTAAGAAATAGTATATTGCTAGAGCTGAAGCCTTCTATTTGCTCATCTTCCTTTGGCAGTCACTTTTCTCCACCAGGGCAGTCACTGCTCTTTGCTGTACTTTCACTATAAATATTTTTACTGTTTTTAATGTTTTAACTGTATGGAAATAGAGTTTTCATGGATACACTTGTTTGCTATCACATAAACGCACATGGCTAAAATTCATTCATTTTCAATGCTATATGGTATTATAATATGAATAAACCACATTTTATTTTTCCTTTCTTATACTGGTAGACATTTAGGTGGTTTCTGATTTCCAATAGTACAATAAATATTGTACAGTTCTCCTAATAAACATTAAACAAGAATTTCTGGGCTGTCTTTAGAAGTAAAATCTGTAGATTGCTCACTATGCATTTGTTCACATTTATGTGACGACTGCACTTACAAAATGATTTTCTAGTAGATCCTCAGGCCAGCAGAACATGAGTTCCTGTAATTGTATTTGTCTTTATTTTTTCACTAAATTTTTTGTTTTCACAGTGGTTCTGTGCAGGTTTATACAATAGATAACACCACTGGAGCCATGCTTCTATCTCATAAATTAGAACTAACAGCAAAACAGTATCCTGGTGAGTGAGTACTTTTTAAATATTTTTATCTGGCTGAAAGGGCTGTGAGAACATTTCAGGCATGGAAAGCCAAGTCTGTGGGAAAAAAAAATTTCCTACATGGAGGATCTCTATAAGACCTCAGTAGAAAGGGTCATCAAAGAAGGATATACTCTTCTCTGAAGGGAGGGGAGAGCATCCACTTTGCTTATGGCCGTGTCCAAATACCAATGGAGTCTATGGTCACAAAAGGCTCCCATAGCCTTGGCAGCCCATGGCAAGAGCCTCGGATGGTCACTGATGTCATAAATAAGAGTATTAATTGTTAAAGGAACAACAGAAGTCACTGTTCACTTATTCCCCTTATGGGACTTCCGTCTCTAATGAGTTGTACTATGAGAATCGACTGCAGATTTTGTTCCCAAACTGTACTCTATGTGTTGTGTGTGTGGGGGAGTGCAAACTGTTGAAATCTATGCTTAACATGGAGTTGGTCCTCTGTATATAAAATCAAATTAGAAATGAACTGTAAAGAAAGAGATGGGAGAGGGAGGTGGGATGGGAATTGGGAGGGAGGTGGGTATGAGGGAAAGAACCACTATATTCCTAAAGTTCTATCTATGAAAAATGCTTACATTAAATAAAAACTTTAAAAAATAAATATTTTAATGTATAGTAATTTCCCTTTATTTGCAGGGCATATTTTCAAAGACCTCCAGTAGATGCCTGAAAGTGTGAATGATACTGAACCCTACATATAGAGTGTTTTCTCTTGTATATATACCCAAAGTTTTATTTATTTATAAATTAAGCACCGTACAAGCTTAACAGCACTAGTAATAAAATAGAAAAATTGTAACAGTGTACTGTAGTAAGAACTGTATGTGTTCTCTCAAAATGGAATTTTTGTTTTTAGTTTATGAGCGTGTACAGGTTCTTTCCTATGTGTACTGTGCCTGACTTTATCATTATGCTCAGTAGTACTATCATATAGTACCAGAATGAAAATGTCTGTCAGTATTTTATGCCCTTATGCCTTCTTTTCACTTTCATAAATAAAGATTATATTGGGTATCTTCTAGAGAGCCCAGTTTCATCACAATTGAAAACTTGAGCCGGCGCCGCGGCTCACTAGGCTAATCCTCCGCCTTGTGGCGCCGGCACACCAGGTTCTAGTCCCGGTCAGGGCGCCGGATTCTGTCCGGTTGCTCCTCTTCCAGGCCAGCTCTCTGCTGTGACCAGGGAGTGCAGTGGAGGATGGCTCAGGTCCTTGGGCCCTGCACCCGCATGGGAGACCAGGAGAAGCACCTGGCTCCTGGCTTCGGATCGGCGCAGCAGCCATTGGAGGGTGAACCAACGGCAAAGGAAGACCTTCCTCTCTCACTGTCCACTCTGCCTGTCAAAAAAAAAAAAAAAAGAAAACTTGATTTGGGTGATATTCTCCTTAATTAAATTCTTTAAATCTTCCAGAAACATGGTAGCAGCTTCTTCGTCAGATATAATCTCTCCAGTAGTTTTTTTAATATTTTTCAGTCCGAATCTATTCCTAAATCTGTAAGCATTCCTTACTTGGAGTAAACGCCACTCATTTGGTAAGATCCCCTGCTGAAACCTTCATACATGCTCAGTGCTTTCTAGCATTTCATGTTGCTGTCCATCAGAACATGTTTTCTGCTCAGTTCTAGTAATGCCTTTTCCATCTTGACGAAGCACTCATCACACACTGTGGCCTCAACTTTTGTTGGTTTGAGGTGCAACAGCAAAACTAACAAAAAATTCTTTCTTCTTCTTCACAGGTAGGAGGTGGGGATGCTTCTGGGAAAGTTGCTGCTTTCCTGATCAAAAAATCAGATATGCCTTGCTTCCTCTTTTCTTCTTGACTCAAGTGCAGAAGTAATGTTTGGAGTTCAGGAGCCCTCTTGTGACCACAAAGAAAAGGTTAAATAAAGGTCAGCTGTCACTCACCTTTGGATTTCTTTCAATTTGAGATACTAAATCCTGTTTGTTTATGCCATAGTAAGTTGGGTTTTCTGTTAGTATCGGTCAGAAGCACTGAGAGCAGATATATTCTTGGAAACTTCAGCATATGATTTTTGTCACGTCTGGATTGCTAGCATCACTATTCTTATACTTTGGGGCCACTATTTTAAGTAAAATAGGGATTACTGAACACAAGTGCTGTGGTACTGTCGATAAGCAGTCTGGTGAGATGGCTAGCTACTAAATGACTAATGAGTAGGTAGAGTTTACAGTGTAGATACGCTAGACAAAGGGATTATTTACATCCCAAGATTGGAGCCAGGGGATCAAAGTGAAATTTCATCATGCTGCTCAGAATTGCGCACAATTTAAGATTTATAAATTGTTTATTTCTGTACTCCTTGATATTTTCAAACCGTGCTTAATTGCAGGTAACTGAAATCCAGAAAGAAAACACACACACCCCCACAACCACAGACGAGGGAGCACTTGATATTAAATAATACTTACTTCAGTCAAGTAGTGCTAGAATATAACAAGATTTTGTGTGACCTAAGAATTTCTATGTAACCAGAGAGACTCCTGGAATGTTTCTTTTATCTCTTCATAGTCCTTTCATTAGTCCTTTCTAGCCTCCTTCAGTTTTAATCTCTCTGTTCCTTCTTTGGACTTGCTATGATCTCTACCTGATTTCATTGCTTCTGTTATTTTATGCCTCCCAATTCAATGTATTCATTTAATAAACATTTTTTTGAATACCCACTATATGCTGGGTATACAGCAATGAACAAAACTAAAGTATGTTTCTGAACCCTTTAGAGAATCTCTGCTGTACATAGAAATAAGTCCAAGCTCTTTGTGTCACTGGAGATGCTTTTGACTAACACTAATAGAAAACCCAACTTACTATGGTATAAACAAATAGATTTATTTTCTCAGAGAGCAAGAAGTCCAAAAAAGTGAGCAACTGCTGACCTTTATTTGACCTTTTCTTTGTGGTCACAAGGCAGCTCCTGATTTCCAAGCATTACTTCTGCATTTGAGTCAAGAACAAAGGATGAAGCAGTACATACCTGATTTCTTGATCAGGAAAGCAGCAACTTTCCCAGAAGCATCCCCATTTCCTATCTGCTATGCTTGTCTTCCATTTACAACTAATTGGCCAAAAATATGTCACGTCTACCTTAGGCGACAAGGAAAACTATGAAAGTAAGTGTTAGCTTTTTCCAAGCTTTATGGAAGGAAGGAGTGGGCAAATGAGGAAAAGGATGGGACTAGGCCTTGAATTAACCAACCAGCAATGTCTATCACATATTCATAGGTAGCAGCACAAAGGAGTTTTTCAGAAAGCTCACAAATATTCATAATACAAAAAACTTTACATGGACTTCCAAAAAGGTTTTGCATCGAAACAAACTGATGTTTTAATTTCCACAAACCTTTTGAAGTACTTTTGTAAAGTCTTCTGCCAAATAACTTTGTTGCAGTTTCTTGGTTCACTCTGTGCTTAGTGTTTCTCTGATTTTTACATAATACTCCGAGGCTAAAAGAAATACTGGAAGTTCTGTTTATTAATTAGCTAGGTCTAAACAATAATATTTAGTTACTTGGAGGGCAGAGTGACAGGGAGGGACAGGCAGAGTCAGAGAGAAGTCTTCCATCTGGTGGTTCACTCCTCAAATGGCTGCAACAACCTGGGATGGGCCAGACCCAAAATCAGGAACCAGGAGCTTTATCTGGGTCTCCCTTGTGGATACAGGAACCCAAGCACTTGGGCCATCTTCCACTTCTTTACCAGGTGTATTAGCAGGGAATTACATTGGAAGTGGAGCATCCAGGACTTGAACGAGCATCCACATGGTATTCCGGCACTGCAGGTGGCAGCTTGACCTGCTATGCCACAGTGCCAGCCCCCACTCAAAAATGAAAAAAAATTATTTTTATTTGATTCTTAAATTTTTTTAATTAATGGAATGTGTTTGCCTGTGAGTCGCTGTGCAGCTTCTCAAAAGTTAGAGTGAAATTGAGTGCAAGCACCCACATTTCCTGTTCCACATTGTCACAGGACATTTTTTATTCCTCCTAAAATCCAACTTCACAACTCCTGAAAACCCATCTTCACAGGATATAGCATTAAAATGAATTGTAACTGTGAACTACTTGCAGATAATTTATATTGTATCCAACATATGCTGTGCATCGCTTTGTTTCTCTTGAAAATTATCTTATGCTCCCCACCTGACCCTCAACTGTAAGTTTCCCCCCTGCACTTCTCTGTGGTACTTTGACACAAAGGCTGGGAACTGTAGTCATTAGTTTTACTTAGCCTGATCAAACTATCTGTAGATCCTTGACTACTTCCATACCGCTTTTTAGAGTAGATTTATTTTAAAGTGATACAGAGTAAGGCAGAAGGTGGGTGAGGATCTTCATCCAATGGCTCACTCCCCAAATGGCTGCAGCAAAGCCAGGAGCTCCATCCAGATCTTCCACTTAGGTGGCAGGGGCCCATACTTGGGCTGTCCTCCACTGCCTTCCCAGGCACATTAGCAGGGAATGGGATTGGAAGTGGAGCAGTAGGGACTTGAACAAGCACTCCAGTATGGGATGCCAGTATGTTTTTTTCTTTTTTTAAAAATTTTATTTAAGTTATACAAGTTTCATGTATTTCATATATACAGATTTAGAAACATAGTGACATTTCCCCCCATCCTCCCTTCCACCCGCACTCCAACCCTTCTTCCTTCTCTATTACCTGTTCTCACTTTAAATTTTTGCAAAGATCTATTTTCAGTTTACCTAATGATCATATAGTTAACCCTACATTAAGTAAAAGATTTCAACAAATAGTATGAAGAAAAAAGAAAAAAACTACACTGTTCCTCAACAGAAGAGACAAGGGCTATAAATAATCACTGAATCTCAAAATGTCTATTTCACTCCAATACATTACATTTCAGGTACTCTATTAGTTACCTTGGATCAGGGAAGTCATATGATACCTGTCTATTTGGGACTGGCTTATTTCACTAAATATAATA